CACCTTCCAATTTTCAAGGCAAAAAAAAAAAAAAGTATCTTCCTGAGCCAATAAAGAGCTTGCCACTTCATCAGGTGCAGAAAGATTTCATGTTTAAAATTAAGATGTTCAAACTTCTATCATTAGTTGTGTTGAACTCTACTGATGCTGTTGTGCAAGCAGCATTAACAAACAGTAGAGCAGTGGTCTTATAATCACACTACAAGCAAGTCTTACTATGCTTTTGCTGTTTCTTAGACTACAAATGCAAAGCATCCCTACAGAAGATCCTGATGTTTACACTTGACCCACACAAAAGAAATCTTGTCCACCAGGTCTTCTACCTTAACTTTAATTAAGGTTTTCTAGCCTTCAACTTAAGGAGTTCACACTTAAAGAACACAACCCAGCAAAAAAGGTAGTTACTTAATTCACACAAGTCAAGAACTGGACACTACTATGTAGCACCTGATGTATAAAAGACTCTTTTCAAAATAAGATTTTTAAAGAAGTTTTACATTTTAAAATAAATTAGAAAATCTTCCAATGTCGATGATTTCTTCTAATAGATTTTGTATTACATTTTACAGTAGTTTTAACACTGCCTTTTGTGCAAACCAGCCCCTGGAACATGTGATGCTATCTAAAAAGTTGAGATCTTCAGCCTAAAGATGCTCTATGACTATTACAATGCAAGAACTTAACCATGTAAATACCTACAGCTACCCTTCAGTTCAGCTATAAGTTCCATCCACAGCTTTACAACATGAAGCATACTGACTAGAACACCCCAGGAAAAGGAAAGTCCAGTTCGCAGGATGTGCACATGCTACCACATGTATACTGCACCACAGGTATACTGCAGAACTATCTATTTATCAAAGTCATTAGGCTTACTCTTTACAGAGTGGAGTAACAGTGAAAACTTGGTCAAAGGGAAGATTTCAGAGAAGGTCTGAAATGCAGTTTTTTTCTGTTAACTTTTGCACTCCCTTCCCATTACAAAACCAATCTAGAAAGTCTTGGTAGCTAAAATCAATCCAACACACAGCACACTCGATTTACAGCACGTGGAAGCATGAGCTTTCAGAGCTCAACAGCAGTGTCCACATTTCCTAACGCTGTCACTCCTGGCTGAGAGAGCACAGGCTGGACAAAAATAGCACACACTGGAAACATGGCGGCTTGCTGCAAATGCTGATTCCAACCAGTGGTGGGGGGGAAATAAGTATCATTTTCTTTGTAAAGAATACTTACTGTCTACATGCAGTCCTTAGTATAAAAGGACACTAGGTAAGCCCACTGTGAATTAATAACACATTATACCATCCTGATCAAGACTAAAATTTATCTGTATGCTAGCCTTTTTCTCTGTTCTTCCTCTAGTAAGCATATCTAGGGCCTTACAGGAGGCTGGGAAGTCTTCACAGCAGCCCTAGCTCGCATTTATATCTTGGCTTAAACTCGAATCCAGCCAAGGTCATGCGGTAAGTCAGAGCAAGACGCATGCTGCTCTTCTGCTTGAATTACAGCTCTCCATCTATAAAGTTACAGCAAGGGAGACACCTAAGATCCGATACACCGGTACGGGCGACCTCACTATACAAGCACGCAGGATCAGTCCCTCAAACAGCTATTGAAAGGGGCTGTCTCAGCTGCATGCCAGGTACTGGGTCACCGCATACCTAATCCCCATCCCTCTCAAGAAACCAGCCCCCAAAAAAGAAACAAAAACAGCGAAACAAGAACCACCACCATGCAAAGCCGAGAACAAAGATCGCAGCTCCACATCTCGGCTCTCACAATGAAGGAATGGCCGATATCTCCCCCCCATCCCCCGCAAATAACGCTCCCTTTTAAGTAACTGCTCGCCAAGCAATGCATTATCGAGCCCAGCTCCCCCCACGGAAGCCCCCGAAGGCGCTGTGGGCCCGGGAGGTTCCTCGCGTCCGAGGGCCTCGTTCCGGAGCCCCACGGGGGGGGTACGAAAGCCCGGCCACGGGGCCGCTTGGGAGGGCGCTCGCCACAAAGCACCGCCAGGACCGGGCGGGCCTCACTCGCGGGACCGGGAGGGCGGGAGCCGCCTCAGCGGCGGAGATGCACCGGGTGCCCCCACCATCAGCCGACCGCGGCCTACCAAGGTGGTGGGAAAAGAAGGGGGGGGGGGTAAACGGGAAGCCTCAGGCCAGGCCCGGTGCGTGCCGCCCGCAGCCGTCCTCAGGAGGACATGACCCGGCCGGTGGGTCCCGCCCGGTCCCTCCGCGGCCGCAGGGACCCCCATTCCCTCACCTGCGGGCTGAGAGGGACGGGAGCGGGAGGCGCCGCTTCACCACAGGCCTGCCCGGCGGACGAAAAGCACCTCACGCAACGGCGTGCTCTGCCGCCGGCTAGATATATCCGGCGCGCAGCCTACCCCAACGGGAGGCAGCTCAGCCAATCAGAGAACGGCGGTAGCCTCCGCTCGGATGCTAATTGGTCCATAGGGGAAAAGAGGCGGGCGTAAAGGCGAGAGGCAACTCAGTCTACCAACCACGCGGCGTTGCTCCGCGGGGACTGTAAGAGTGACGGGCACAAAGCTCGACCAATGGGCGGCGGCGCTCCCGCTGCCGGGGCGGTCGATAGGCCGATAGACCTCCCTTGTAGCCAATAGGACGACGCTACCCGCGCAGCACGGCAGCGCCCTTGAGAAGGTGCTGGTAAACCCCGTTATGGATCGGGGCGGAGCCCGCAGAGCGACACCGAGCGAGGAAGCCAATGGGAGAGCGCGGCGGGCTCTGACGGACAGGAGCTCTTAAAGGGACAAGGACCCCCCGCCACAGCACCGCCCCCTGCTGGAGAGGGGGGGACAGGGGATGGCGCCCAATATGGCGGAGCAGCACGTGCCGGTGCCTCACCCGGCTTAGGAGCACCCGGTGCTTGGCCCGGGGGTCTGCCATGGCCCTGTAACAGGGAACAGGCTGTGGCCATACCCCTTAATGGCTGCACTGAGGGTGCTCACCCAGTCGGAGGTCAGGGCACCACTGACGCACTCACCCGAGAGAAAACACTGGTGTGGGTCGGTAAAAGGAGCCTTTCACACTCAGGGACTCCTGCCCAGGCTCAGGCCACCTCCAGCAGAAAGAGGCCCAGCGCTCAGGTGAAGAGAAGGTGGTGGGCACCATCTCCCATCATGGGTTGGCATCCCCTGCCTGTCACTAGGGACCACAGGCAGGGCTGGGAGACTCATCCTGCTGCTTTTCCTTTGCACAGGAAGGAGCAAAGCAGGCAGGAAGTTCATCTGCCCCAGAAGAAAGGTGATCCAAGCAATGATGTTTTCTAAACCACCTGGCAAAGCCCAGGTGGTTCTACAAAGGAGACAGGCCTAAATATTCACATTGAGATGCTGGTCCAGGGAGCCCGAGGAGAGCAAGGAGAGGAAGCAGACTGCCTGAGCCAGCCTGCTCCCAGAAGGCCATAGCTTTCCATTTGTGTCACATCCTATCCCAAATGTATCCCTGACATGAAGCACTCAAGAGATAGATTTCACCCTATAAAAGTGACTTCCTCCCCACCACTGTATCCCTAAAGGCTGCCCAAACCCCTTCCTGCTATGCCTTGCAGCTAGAGATACAGTCAGTGGACTGGCATGGGGCCATGCTCAGCATTAATATCGTTCCCCCCCTGCACACCCAGCTATTTATAGCCTAAGCCACATTGCAATCTGCCAGCTCATAAATCAGCAGCACAGACTTTTCTGAAATTTAATGTGAGCCCAGTGACCCAGCACAACAGCCACCAAAATAAACACTGCTGGGGGGATCCTTGACATCTCTTCCCCAGCGCAGCAGGGGGACAGGTAATTCCTCTCTTATGAAAAGGTCATTACAACAACAGGGTGCTATGTGTGTCAAAATGAACACCCTCACTCCTCTCATGCAACACAAGTTAACTAGGGAAGGCATTCACATCATCTTCATCCTGGCGAGGGCTCAGCCTGTTCAGTATCAATGCAGGGCAAGGGGAAGGGGTCAGCAAGGCGGCCACATCCCAGGGTACCGCTCCATTTGGCGTGGTAGCAAGTAACCAGAACACGCTGGTTATTTTTTCTGCTACAGATTTGCCTTCTTAACAGGAAGATACTGAAGCCCAGCACGTGGTCAGGAAGTATCATCCCACACACACCTCTGGTAGCACTTCTCAGCCCTGATGTGCAGCCCCGTCTCCTTTCCTGGCCGCACACAGCCTCCCAAAGCTGCTCCTGGTCCCCATTGCAGTCATCTCCACCTCCAGTTTTTAAGAAGCCCATTCTCCTTCCAAGGATCAAACAGCCAGGGAAGGCCAGGTTGGACAGGTCACTGAGCACCCTGCTCTAGTGAAGTCCCTCTGCCCATGGGGGGGGGTTGGAATTGAATGAGCTTTAAGGTCCTTCCCAACCATTGTATGATTCTATGCTTAAAACTCCAACAGACCAGCCCAAAGCAGACACACAATCTTCGGTGACCAGCATCCTTTCTCTCAATTTACCCCCAAACCTCCCTCATTCAATAATCCAGGTTATCCTAACCCAGTAAATCTCAAAGCCTCACAAGACAGGAACAAGCCTTTTGAAGCTGCGCTGTCAACCCTCACACCTCATGCTCCATGGCTCTTCCCAGCTCCGCAGCCCCTTCCCTGTGCTGATCCAGGGTGCTGAAAGCCGGTAGGGAGCCACACCAATAAAAACTTTCTCCACTGCTTTCTCCTTACCCCTTTTTGGCATCTCATGCCTTCCGATGGCTTCAGACTTACTCCTACCTCGGGCTTCATCCTACTGGAGATGGCATCACTGCAGCCACATCCTGGGAGCAGCGGCATTTTAGCATCAGAAAACTGGGAAGATGAACATAAGCGCAAGAAGCGGGGATGTGCTTCAGCAACATTCACTCCTAACAATTAAACCAGCGTCCCCGAAAGGCTCCTAAAAGCAGCTCGGTCAGTGCCGAGAACAGGCCAGGGGCGATTTGAGGGGTTCCCCGGGGAACGGGGCGGGCTGCGCGGGGCCGGGGGCGCTGTGCGGGGCCGGCGCTCAGAGCCCGGCATCGGCCTGGAGCAGCCGGGCGCGGCCCGCCCCTTCCTCTGCGCCGCGCCGGGAGCCGGGAGCCGGGATCCGCCGCTGCGCTCCGCCATGCCGGTGGGTGCCGGGCCTAGGGGCGCGGGGCGGCTGATGGCGGCCCGCTCCGCACAGCGCCGGCGCCTGGCGCATCGGGGCAGGCCGGGGCCGTGTAGGGCCTGTATGGGCCCGCGGGACGTGGCGGGGCCGGCCCCAGCGCCAGCGGAGCCGACGGGGCAGGGAGGGAGCTGGCCGGTACCGGGAGGAGCCACCGGGCCGGGGGGGGGGACGGGACTCCCCGCTGGGACCCTCCTGCTGCTCCGATCCGATCCCGTGCTCCCCGGAGCACGCTGGGCGTTTGTAGCGTAAAAAGCAGGAAAACGCTGGTTACACAGCAAAATTCCAATGGGAACCGCCATTCCCGAGCTGCTGTTCCGGGCGGAGCGTGCCACTGAGGGTTTTTTAGCCTCTCGATGGGAGGGAGCAGAGGGTAGTTTGGAATAGAAAGAAATATGGGTAGCAGGTAGCAAAGAAGAAGAAGACGACCTTATTTTTATAAGGAAAGTAAAAAGCATGTGCAAGAGAATGGGATTGGGATCTGTCTGGTGCCAAAGGTTGAAAGCAATGGTTAGTGTTACAGGCAAGCACGTTTCTGTTGACCCAGTAGTGACCCAGTGTTGACCAGTAGTGAAGATAACACGGGGGGCCCGCTGGAGTGAAGGGGTGATAAAACAGCACTAATGGTCCTTAAATTTCAGGTTAGTTGATATTTCTATGAGTTTATTATGTTGGGGACAAGAGGCCTTGAAGGCACAAGAAGAACAGGATGGGCAAGCACTGAAAACCTTGCAGACCAGATCAGGACAGTGGGTCGCTGGAGGCAGGACACTTGGTTCTCTGGAGCTTCCCAAAGAAGCTTTCAGAGACCCACAGAGGTGGGAACCTGTGCTGACCCTGAAGGTGGCCCTGCTCTGTGTGAGGGCCAGTCAGTCTCCAAAGGGTCCTCATAATTATCCCTTGATGAAAAGCACAAGGATTCTATAGGGAGGAGTACCAAGAACTCTCGATACCCCTTAGTGGCATGTGTGGACCTTTTGGCTGGGGAGGATTTATGCCCATCTCCCCCAGGAAAAAGGCTGCTGTGGAGGATGAGTGCTTGTGGTGTGTTGCCAGCTTCACCCTCCCTGACCCCTCGCCTGTCTTTTCAGAAACACGAGTTCTTTGTGGACATGACCTGTGAAGGCTGCTCCAATGCAGTCACCCGTGTCCTGCAGAGGCTGGGAGGTGAGTCCGTGCTGGGTGTGTGACAGCACCAGCTTTGGGGCAGGATATCAGTGCCTGGGGATCCTCCATCTCGCAAGGGTAAAAAGCTGAAAGTGGCAGGTTGGAAACCTCTGCTCCCGCTCTGCGCTGAGCCTGCTGCTTACTCAGTAATGAGTCACTGATTGTTGGCAGGACTTGTGTGACCATTGGAGAACTGTCAAGGGGAGGAGAAGCTGCCGTGGCTGCAGGGGGCTCTGAAGCACCAGGGCCTAATCCTGAACCCTCTGGGAATGATACTGCTAGACCCCTACTCAGGCTGTCAGAAGAAAGTGACCTCCCTGGATGTCCTACCAGGTGGTGTTTCCAAGGAAGCCTGGGGTGTCTGTGGTGCTTCCCTAGATGTGTCATCAGCAGTCCTAGTGAAGAGCTGCTGAGCAGAGTGTTTGGTGGTTGCCTGCATAGCCTGTTTTTAATACCACCTGGAAAATTATAGCTTATACCTCCTTTATGCTGACATTACCAAGAGAGAGGGATGTAGCCTTTACTCACCTGTTGTAAGGACTGGTCATCCTGCACCCCTCTCCTTATTGTGTAGAAACAGCTTTCAGTCACAAGGTGAAGGCCTTGCAACTTCTTTCAGACCTCATTACCAGGCTGTAGCGATCCCACTTCCTCTGTGTGTGGTTGCCAGAAGCTCCATCACTCTTCAAACAAGGCCAATACCAGCCTTGTGATAGAGACTTCATGTCCTTTCACTGTGCTGAGTGGCTCACCCTTATTAGCCACTGGGAAATCCACATGTGAAAATGTCTTTTCCCTCCTCCTACTTACAGCTGTTAGCTGGTGCCACCACTGAGGAAACCTGTCCTGACCCTGTCCTAACCCTGCACTATTAGTTAGTGCCTATCCATGCTAAACCACAGCACAGGTTGAGCTGGTTGGAGATTATAATGGTTGGTTTACACTTAGCTCATTCTGGTTATTGTGTGAGTGATTGTGTTGATCCAAGGTGGAGTGAGCAGATAAAAGCAGTTGAGAAACTGCAGTGCCCAGTGCACATCTGCAGGAGATCTGGCTTCCTTCATACCACTGCTGGCAGAACACCAGTTTGGTTTTGCTGGCTGGTGGTGGTATGAGGGTTTGCTGGCAGGAAACGTGTACATTTGACTGATTGCCTTGGGAGCACAAACGTGTGAAGGTGAGTTTTCCCTGTGCTCACACCATTTGGCTGCTTCTAGCTGTGCAGGATTGTTTTCCTTTGTTTGTAGGTGTCCAGTTTGATATTGACCTGCCCAACAAGAAGGTGTGCATCGACTCAGAGCATAACGTTGACACCCTACTGGAAACCCTAAAGAAGACTGGAAAGAACACTTCCTATATTGGGGAGAAGTCCGCGTAGTAGCCTTGCCTGGTGTGAGGAGGCTAGGTATATAGCAGGTGTATGAAATGCTGGAGAAAGATCTGACTTCTTTCCAGTTCTCCCAGTAAAACAGGCTGCTTCCTGGGAAGCACAAAGTAGTAAAGACCTGCAGGTCCAGCTTCAGCAAACACCTCTTTATCAGAGATGCAGTTGGACCATATACAGCCAGCATCCCTTCTGTGTGGGACCACTTAGCTACTCTGCAAAGAACACGTGATCCCAACCATGGCTGTAGTGGAAAGGTAGAACACAGCCTTTGTGCCATGCCCAGTTGAACCTAGAGTTTGACAGAGCATATTATGCATGAAAACAAATCCTAAAGACATTCACCAGCTTACCAGAGAGAGTGGTGGCCCCCAACAATACCAGGGAGGGTGATGGGACACAAAGACCCCTGTGGGTACATGATGCAGAGGTTTGGTTGATAGCACATGGACCTCCAACGTTGGATTCTGTTGGTACGGCTACTAAACTCAAGAATAAAAAAAGATCAGCACCCTGCTACCTCAGGGATGTGAAATGTTGGGTGTCAGAATAGCTCCCAATGTACACAGCCCCTGGATATCTGTCACAAAGACAACCTGTGCCCATTTTCCACAGTCTCAGCACTACATCTGGAGAGGGACTTTTTATGAGGGCATGTAGTGACAGGACAAGGGGGAATGGCTTTAAACTGAAAGAGATTAGTCATTAGGAAAAAATTCTTCACTATGCGGGTGGTGCAGAGAGGTTGCCCAGAGAAGCTATGGCTGCCCCATCCCTTGCAGTGTTCAAGGCCAGGTTGGATGGGGTTTGGAGCAACCTTGATAATGGAAGACTAAACTGGGTTGCTGCCCATGGCAGGGGCTTGGAAACAGATGATCTTTAAGGTCTCTTCCAACCCAAACCGTTCTGTGATTCTGTATACAAAACTTTCGTGACCATGAAAATGTTTTTGCAGACAGGGTTCAATTTCAGTGGAAAAGACTGAAGTAGGAAGAGAGGGCTGCCCACTCACTGTATGTACTGTTCTTTAATGTCCAAGGTTATTATACTGCATCTCTTAAGAGCTTGTTTCTGCCACTGGAGCTTTCTAATCCAACAACATTGTTTTAAAATAGCCTACTTTGATCATCACAAATACCCAGCATGGATGCACTGAAACCAGTTCATGCTGATTTAATTCCCAGTCAGTAAATTAAATCAGGGATTTACACTAGCAGGAATTAAACTGATACAAAAAAGAGTTGAGCTGGGACTGATATGCCTGTGCAATAGAGCTGCATTTTTTTTCATAGACTAATTTAGCAGATTTAAAGTCTGTAATTTGTATCATTAGAGCAAGCTCTCAATACTTAGAAATAGTTTAAAATCTTAGCTATAATCAGATAACATTGCTATTTGAAACAGAGGGAGAAGCATGCTCTGAATTGATTGGTGCCTCAAATAGTTTTGAGCTCATAGTACTGACTGCAGGAGCTGTTTTCAACTTGCAGAGACTTGTGGACTATGTCTGAAATGCCTGCAAAAGTTAACCCATCAAAGCCAGACTCAAATCATGTGGATGTGGCCCTTTTTTTCCCCAGCCCTTGTATACTTCCCTTGTGTTCCATCAAGGCAGCTATGGAGTCAGTTCAGCTGGCCGATCTGGCAGAACATTTCTGTCAGTGCTTTTGGTTTCCCATTGGATTTGAACTGAAGCGAGTTGACTTACCTAAGGACTGTGAGATCCAAACCAAAGTTGAGGGGTGGCTGAGCTGCCCTTGCTAGTAGTCTGCTGCCGGATCACTTCAACTGTCGTGGGGAAAAATACCAAGCTTAAGTTTTACAGCACATTTCCCTCCATAGGGAATATTTTTAGGGCTTCCTCTATAAAAGGAGGGGGGGAAGTTGCAAATCATTGTCATAGAGTCCAGGTGGATGACTTTCCTTTGGCTGATGACCGGCAGAGGGCATCTTTGTATAACGTTGTCTCCCCTGTGCCTTGGTATTTGTTCCATTTATTTACTTACGTACTTAATTATCTTGCAGGAACTCAAACATGACTTCAGCAAAAAGATGGCTTAACCTTTTGCATATCTCCCAACTTGCTCTGATGTTTGACCTTTACTACCCTGCCAGATGCTGGAAGGCAGAAGGCTGGCAGGAGAAGACAGCTGCATCTTGGACTTTATACCTGGAGAACTCCAGGGGAGGTTATATGCTGCTTCTAGTCCCACAGTAAATTGAGGTGCTTCTTCTGTTTTTTCAGTGCATGTCTATGTGTCTCGTGTGTCTTTGTACTGCTTTAAGTGGTTTTCTGTGAAAGAGATAGCTCTTAGGGATGGGAAACTACCCATTACATGCAAGGCAGGTCTTCCTGGAAACTGCATTTATTTTAGGAGTTGAATGCAACCTCTGTCTAAGGGACATGTCGCAGGAGAACTGAGACTGAATGTCACTTAAATTTGGGGAATCTCTGTCTTGGTAGATTTCTTCCCATTACAGAACAAACTCCATTTGGGATGCAAGTGCTGGGAAGAAGGGACTCTTGGAGCCCCTCTAAGTCAAGGATAACCAAATGTCCTTTTGAGCTAGTTGGGGCCACAAGGCAGAGGTGTGCAGAAGACAATGCCTGTGCTGATGAGAAATGCAGAAGATGGAGGAAGGAGAAGGGTGTGGGAATCAATCCAAGATCTCTGATTTCTCAGCCCAGTGACCAGTGTTACGGGCTGTACTGTTGCCTTGCCCTATGCCCATTTATTTAATTCAGGTTTCAAGCCAGTGAAGCAATTGCACGTGTCTGTCCCAGTCTGCTGTCTGTCATTTCACCTGGAGGATGTCTCCCATGCCTACATGTGACTTGTTCTACAGAAAGAAGAAACAACTAAAATTTGAAGGAAAAGATTATGTTTAAGAGATTTTTCACACTTGTACAATGAGACTACTTTTGACATAGTTGCAATTTATTCTTTCCTAGAGTGGTTTAGTACTTCAGAGTCCCTTACCATTACAGTAATGGTATTACCATCTGTACCACATTTAACTGCTGTAGATGCACTTGCAGGGGCTGGAGACACTTCAAGGAATCTGTGGCAGACACTTTTTATTACTTCTAACTTAAGGGAAGCTAAAGGATAAACATGTAACATCACTGCATTATTTTCTTGCATTAAAATGTCCCAGTGGAAGGAAGTTTCCTGATCCAAGGCCCAGTACCACAACCTATTTCTGCTTTGTGCCTGTGCACTCAGATGCACAACATGACACCTCCAGGGTCCCGGGTGAGTGAGTGAATCCATTTCCCTAGCTTTCCCTTGCTGGTCTGAGCTGGTGTTTGCCAATGTTAGTTATTATTTACTGCTTTCAGCTTCCTCCCAGGCATGGCCAGTGCATCCACTAGCAGCTGGCCGCCCAGTGGCCCAGCTCTGGTGGCACTGGGCTGGGAGAGGATGTGTGCTGTTAGTTTGGCATGGAGCTGGATGGCTCACAGAGGCACGGCTGGCCTTGGAGCCAGCAGTCCTTGTGGCACTTGCTGTCTGCCAAACAGGACTGGCAGTGCTGTGCCCATAGAGGATAACTCCCAGTCTGTTTTGCTGTGAACCAGGCTGCTCGTCCTTGATGTGTGGGCTGCAGCTTACGCTATCCACACTCCCGTGGCTGCTGTGCTCCCTCCTCCCTGCTCTGCTGAACTGTCTGTTTTGGTTAAAGCCTGCTTATCTCTGAGCCAGACAAGGAAAGGCTTCTACCCACAGTCAGCCAGGAGGTTCATGCAGATACCTGAAGTTTTAGTACCCATCTGCAGGGCTGCAGCCTCCTAAGCCTCCCCTCTGCCATTCATTGGTGGAGGGGATGGACACTGCTTTAAGCTCTTGCCTGCTGCAGAAATGACATTACAGTTTTCCACTGCAATTTCCATTTTGCAATGGAATTTTGCAATTTCCATTGCAGTGGAAATTTGCTATAGTGATGAGATGGGATCACCCCAAGCTGGCTGCAGAGTTTGGTGGGGATACTCACTGCCCAGAGGAGAGGAGCAGCCCTTCACAAAGTGCCAGGAGCTGGTCTCCATCCACCAAAGCAGTGATGTCCAGACAGGACATCTATTCCCCTCCTGGTCCCCGCCCTGCGCTTTAAGAAATGCCTCTAACTCCCTTGCAGCAAGCCATCATGAAACTAGGCAGCTGTGCTCTACCTGGCCATTAGTGTCATTTACAGTCCCTATAATTTCCCTGTGTGCACAGGGGCTGCCCACAGCCACTTCCCTGAGGTGTCGCTGCCACTTGCTTTCTGATGGAGACCATGTGTGTACAGGGTTTGTGGGCTTTTATACCTCATGGCTCATAGCATTTGATGTCCTGCTCCTCACTTGCTGTTCCAGAGCAGAGGGAACAGAAGGGTGACAAGTCTGCATAGGCCACCTCTCTGGTGCCATACCCTGAGGATGCTGATGGGAGTGAGCAGTTGGGAAAGTACCAAAGGCTTCCATGAGCCCTTCCTTAGGTGGCCCCAGTGCTGAGACCCTCCCATCACATTCCTCTTCCTTTCCCCACATCCACTGGAGAAGAGATGGGAGCTGCCAATGTTTCTTCACCAGCCAAGAGGAGGGAAGTGCTGTGATAGTTCCTAACCCCAGCAGTCCAGGCACATATAGTGGAAATACCAAAGAACCAGGACAACTCCTATTAAGGAGGGCAAGAGGATGATACCCAAGCTGCTGCTTGTTTTCTCCACCAAAAGCCCAGCAGGGCAGCACTGTGTGTGCTCTCCCATCAACCATGCAGGCTCATCAGTGAAAGAGGGCATTTCAACCAGACCAGGCAATCTGCAGAACGTTTTCTGCCTGCTTTCCTTTCCTGTGGACAGATAAGGTGTTTGGGTAAGATGACCTGGTGGTCCTGCCTCCTCAGCACTCCTGAATCAGTGGCTCTGCAGGAGCTCAGAGTGCCTCCCAGAAGGCCACCTCTCTGTGAACATGCAGCCAGAGCTAGGTAATGACACCCTGAGACTGTCCTTGCTTTGGTATGTGGGCTGCCTTTGGGCCGGTTACAGCTGGCCTAGGGAAGTTAGGAAGGATGGTTGAGTCTGAACTGAGCAGCAGACCTGCAGGGTGGCTGTCTGAGAGGCTGATGGAAAAACACTGGGAGAAAAAACCAACTCCTTCATAGAGTCTGAAAGGGTAAGACAAGACCTAAGCAGTTTCTTTGCTCCACAACTGCTCAGCTTCAAGTCCTTCAAAATCTTTGTCAGGTTGCATGTCATCAAGAGGGACCCCAAAGAGCCTGAACAGATTATGTGGTCACAATAATTTCCACAGGAAACAATATACCAGACACTGAGGCTGCGTGGCTGTTTTCAGACATGGAAATGCTCAGTTTGCAATGCAAACAGGAAAGGGTGGCACTTGGAAAGGGAGCTTTCCTGTACCACAGACACCCTGGCTCTGCAGGACATCTCGGTGACCTGCTGGAAGAGGGACGTGTCAGGACAAGCAGCTGGTGAGGTGCAGTTTGGTGCTTTGCCATCCATGAAGATGATCCCCAGCAGCAGAGTCTCACTTCTGGTTTCTTCACAATGTTCTCAGCCCAGCTCCAGCTGAACTGTGAGAGTCTGTGAACTGCCTCAAGCTGCAGCCCCAGTAAGAGCAGGGCAAACACAGAGGGATGGGCTTTAAAAGTTCCTTTGTTTCCCCTCCCCATGGTGTTTCCACAGGGTATTTGCTTTTGTCATCCACCTCATTGCATTGCACCATTGCCCTTCTCATAGTGATGCTCTGCTTCTAGGTGTCATTTTTATCCAGTGCCACTTTCACCCACTTTTTAGCCCCAATTCTGATTTCACTGCAAAATGCACAGCCTCCAAAGCTCAGTACTTCATCTACAAAAGAAAGAGCTGCCTTAAGCACCACTGGCTTTGGACACTTTCTCATTACCAGATGACAGGCAAGGGATGATTTTAGCCAAAGGAGCAGTTGTACTCTGTTGAACCACCCAGTAAATGAGAGAATTTCCAAAATAGCACCGCAGGCTGCAGAAAGCAGACAAAGGATGGGAGATCCCCCTCTGTGCCTGCAGATGGTGATGCCTGGTGGCTTGGAGAGGTAAATTGCTGTGAAATTTGAGGGTGGGAAAGAAGGGTTCAGTTTGCAACAATCCCAGGAATTTCACAGGCGTGTCGTGTCTGGATGTTAAGATTGTTACATGGGGGATTCATTACCAAAAGATGGGGATTTTCTAGTCTTACTCTGCTTCTAAATGCTTGCTGTAAGAAACGACCTGCCTCAGGCTTCCTCCTTGACTCACCTGCCTGCTCCCAGCCCAGGGATGGCAGTAGCTGGGAGCTGGAGGAGCACCATGACTGATGTTTGACTTGCAGGGAGGATCATACCCCTGTGCTTTCAAGGGTTAACATCCACAGTGTTGCCCTAACTTTGAGCTAGAGGCGTGCAGCTGGACCTGGAGGTCCCCACTGCACTGAGCTGAGTGTCTGTAGTCACAATCATCACCTTCCGTGTTCATGCATGTCTGCCGATGGAGAGCAAGCAGATAACATGGTCCCTTGGAGGGACTCAAGCTCCCAGACTGGCTGGAGAAGGCTTGATGGTGCCTGAACTAAATGCACTGGTCTTGCATCTTTTCAGTAAGGTCTACATAGACCCAATCTTCCTTGTCATGAGGCCACAGCCAAGCTGAGGCCACTACCACAGGTGATGCACTGAGCTGTCCTGATGCTTGCTGCACTGACATACAGAGCAACACCAAAGGCCCTTGCTGGCTCCCGTTCTCCTGTTGATACACTCAGGTTCCCTGTGTGACCATCGCAGCTTTCCACATTGCAGCTTCCAAACCAGCAAAACACACGGGGCCCTGACAGACTCCCCCTCCAAGACTGTGGCAGTGTAAATAGAAAGAAAACCCAAACAAACAAAAGAACACCAAACAAAACCCAGACTTAATGAAGGACTTCAAGGGCAGGAAGTGTGCACGTGTGTGCTAGCCAGAGCACAAGCGTTTTCTTTCGGAGCTGCTTTCTCCAAGGGTTCAGCAAGGTGATGGAGGCTGGGTTACAGAGCGAGGGTAGCAAACAGTTCCCAGCCCCTCCGGAAGGCAGCAGCCACAGGGCACTGCTGTTCTGCATCCTTCCCTGGTGCTCCAGCCTTTGGCTTCAGCCTCCCGCAGTATATACTGAAGCTATTCAACCCTTTGGCTAAAAGGAGATGGGGAGGGAGAGAAAACAAAGTCAAATGAGAGAGAGAAAGGCAGCTTTTGTGCTGCCT